TAAAAGAAGTTTAAAATTATCAAAATATACTCAACAATCTCTAACTAAACTAAAAATATGAGCGAAGCAACAATTATGCCTAAGTTGAGGCATTAATTGAACTAATATATCCGAATAAGCTTTTTTCATATATGCAGCATTGTCACTAATAAAAAGGATAACTTTATAAAATGGGATATTATAAAAATCTAAAGTAGACAAAATTAATTGTGAAATCGTTGAGTGATTAACACTATCTAAATAATCTGTTTTTACTAATTTTGTTTGATTCTGAAAGCTAAATAAAATATTAACTACGCTACGTCCACATGTATCCGTAGTTTCGTCAATTGTAATCGAAATAGATTGATCAATTAAAATATTTTTTAATTCATCTATTTCATTTTGAAAAATTTGAGGAAGATAATTTTCGCACATTTGCGTTGCACCAACTATTTTACTACCTATAATTAAAAAGTTTATAAATAATTATTAATTAAAGTTAATATTTCTTAATTTTATATAATAACTTACCTTCAATACAATATTCACTTAAAAAGCTTTGTAATTTACCAATCTTTTCTATTGGAATGTCAGCTTCGACTAATGCTCTAATCAATACTAAATTAATATCTTGTTTTTTTGTTACTAGTAGGTTTGATTGATTAGACGATAATGCTATAAGATTTTTTTTTGTTATGTGATTCAGCTTTAAGATGGTTATCGATTGTAGATTTTCTTGTGTGATCAACGACTTTTTTGCAAGTGATACAAATCATTTTCTCATTTAATTCATAAAAATTATCTTTATAATTATTAGAGTTTACACGTTCTAAAGCTGTAAATTTTATTCTTCCCATCATTAAAATTAAAACGGTAAAAATTATAATGTTAAAAAAATTTTAGCTTTATTAATATTAATTTCATAACAATTACAACGAATGACAATTAACAATTGTGATATTAATTGTGATAATTAAAACAATTATATACATATGCGGATATTATTCGCTTAAAATATGTACATAATATGTCACATAATAATCTAAATTTAGCAAAAATCAATCACATTTTATGTACATATTATGTATTTGCATATGTCCGTGGTCTCTAGTTTGAGGAATGGTGCAAAATGCGTAATTATAAAGTAAATGAAAATCCAACAATTAAGTCACAATTGGATTCTATAAGTAGAGATGGGCAAATCGCAAAAATCCCACGTGGGATTCATTAAACCTAGGTGCCGCGGTTGATCCTCGATTTTGATTGGCCAACGGCTGTGATCGACAAAATTCTGGCCCGCATTATACATAATTTTGGCCGGAATTTAATTTTTTAATTTTTATAATTGCAAAAATAGAAAAATTTTTAAAAAAAGTTTCGAAAATCATGTAATATTGTCAATTCATCATGATTAGGATCATGATAATATTTATAAAATATTAATTGATTTAGTAAATGATTTTTTTTTTTTCGATTCTTCAAATGAAAAGCGATCTTTGCAATCTCATGATTCTTTTAAAAGTATAAAATTCAATAAAACCAACATACATCGATTGCCGCAACCAAATTTCCACTAAAAAAGAAGAATGAAATCGAAATAAAATTATAAAAACTAATAAGAAATGCAATTGCACCGGAAAACTTTGTAGATTTTATTTTTAATGCTCTTCCAGAAACTGACTTGATTATTTATTTGCACAAAAGGTTTTTATAATTTTGAATCAAGAACGCAACAAAAAAAAATTTTTGAAGAAAACATAATGAACCCAAATAGTAACAAATGGCTCGATAGTATTAATAAAAACTTTAAGCCATTGCATAAATTGGAGGAGGATTATAATCATTTTTAAAGGCAATAGAATATTCCAAATACTTAAAAAAACCATAATCATAATACAGTAGACTCTGGGTAGAACGAACCTTCCTATAATGAACTCGAAAGTTTGAAATTTCATGATAGCTTCTTAAGAAAACATAGTAATTTTATATAACGAACTTTCTTTTCTTCCAGAATCTTCAGTTCATTATAGAAAAAGTTAATTGTACTTTCTGGCTGTAACAAATATTACGTATTTTGAATTTATTCGAAATTATTTGAAAAAAACAAAATTGCTTATCGTTATTATTTTGTTAGTTTATAAATTTTTTTCATTTGTATTTTTTGTTCAAGTTACATGAATTTTTGGTGCTCAATATATTTGTCGCTTGATTTCGAAACTTTTTTGGGTGGCGATTTTACCCCGGTCCTCAATTGCTAATTATGTTAATGCAGGCCAGATATTATGTTAATGCTGCCAGATGATATGGTAATGCCGGCCAGATAATTTTATTTTGGGATCATATTAAAAATCCCGCGCATCATGCGCATGCCCATCTTTATCTATAAGGTTTTGGACTAATTCCTATCCTTTGGAGTTGGATTTATGGCATGAGACAGATGGATACGATTTAGAGAAGAAGACCACAGATTATTTGCATAAGCGACAAAATGAAATAAAATTGAGTCATCAAATATTTCGAAAAAGTTTGTCATCAGATGAATTGAAAAGCCTAAATGAGTGTGTTATCTCCATGATCTTTAAAAGTACTATACCTGATAGGACTTTTGACATGAATCGTCAATTTATGTATGTTTTTGACAAAGAGGATGCAAGTACAAAGAGAAAGATAATAAAGAGAAAGATAATTACCACCATTCATCCCCTCGCTCAACAAGCAATAATTGATTCTCATTCCAATCATCCTTTAAACGAACTGAGAGATATCGTATCAGCTGTTTTTAATAAAAAAGAGTATTCAAATGACACTAAAGCAAAATTATACATTAAAATGCTCTTGGAATATACAAAAACAGTGGAATTCAATATTATGTAAGAATCACAGTTTTAATAGTCAAATTTCGTTGATTTTATGAAACATACTAACATATAATTTGTTCAATTAGAAAATCTGGAAGAAACCAACGTAGTGCATTTGATTTAAAATTCGAATTAGACAAAATTG